GATTCTAGAAAGAAGTAGAATTAAGTTTTTTCTTGAATTAGTTACTGTAAAGATGTGATATATTTTTCTACAGTTGTTGCATTTAAACAATTACTAAGTGCATTCATAATCACATTTTATGATTGTATATTTAGCTATACAAATTAAAAGAACATAGTCAACTAACTAATCTTGTGAATGCAAGAAAGTACAATCTACTAGTCAATGCCAATAAACTAAAAAGTTTACTTTTATACTTAATAAAGGATGCAAGTCATTTTAGAAAGAAAATTATATTTATATGTGTCTTTTTAAATTGTTTATAATAGTTTTTAAATATTTCTGTTTTGATATAAAAATGTATATATGCTAATTTTTGGCTATTAAGTGCTCCCTAAAATTTTCTTGAAAAATTCCTACCTAAAATATTTCAAAATTTCACTGCACCTCCTGAATTCTATCAAAGAGTGTTTTTTTTTGTGTTATTTGCATTTTCTTAAACTCTCATTATTTAATTACTGAATTTCTCTTTTAATTATTGAAATCTGTAGACCTTTCATTGTAACTGAATAGTTATATATTTTGAGATGAAATTTGAGCTCAAAATAAAATGGGTATTTTCCCTTTTGAATTACTGAAACTAAATAGATATTTCTTTTTAGAAAGTTAACACCATTATATTTTAAAAAATAAGAAAGTTAAAATTTACTTTGTAAAATTCTGGAACAGATACTATTCATTGGCATAAATGATAAATGCAATATATATGAAAACAACAGAGTCCATAAAACAATTTTGTGGACTCTTATAATCAATCATATGCAGGTTTTTTAAAATCCTAGCAATAGTGAATGTATGTATAATTGTAGTACTCCTAGTATGCTATTAATGGTTTTATGGATCCTGAAAATTATCTTTATATTGTTATCAAACTGATTAATAATCATTTTAGCTGAGATAAACTGAGTGAAAAAAATAATTTTAGCTGAGACAAACTGAGCCAAAAAGAGATTTTAACTGAGACGAAATGCAATTTCTGGTGAGACAATTTGATATTTTGCGAGTAGCATCCCTGTCTTTAGCATTAAACTGCATTGTTATAATTATCATTTGTAACAATGTTCAATAATAGTTATTAAAAATATGTGAAAGTACTCATTTTATGTAACTTAGTCTACTGCATGTATTTGATTTTCTGTAGTTAGACTTCTCCACTTATCTGCGTAATTATATATCAAAACTTTGCCATTTAAACAAGCGCCACACTGGGAGCTACTGTTTTGATACTCATACATAGTTGCAACTTGCAACCAATCAAATCACACATGGAAAGTGTGCATTGCTATTCAATGGGGCAGTTTTAAGAATTCAAGCCAAGTTCTTGGAAGACCTTTGTTAAGAGACCTTTGTTATTGTTAAGAAAATGTGTAGTTGCCTGGAATTATTATTTTATTTATTTTTTGCTAAAGGAAAATATATTAAACAATACTCATCCAAGGTGTTTTGGAGCACTCTGTGTTTGCCATTTGGTACACTGTGCACAAAAACTACTCAAAATAACACATTAAAACATTTTTTATTCAATAAAAACAATATATTCTACAAGCTATACATATTATTTTTCTCCACTATCTTAATTTTTTTAAAAATTAATGTACCAAAGCATTAAAAATTTAAAAAATGAAAATAAGATCTTGTTAAGTTGTTAAAATAAATTTAGTCAAATTATTTTTACAAAGTAATGTATGAAAAAAAATAATAAATAACATTTTAAATAAAATGCTTTATAGTACGGATGCTTTTCTTATACCCATCCTACACTTATTGGGGAAAAAAAAGCTGATCTGGAAATTTTAAATCTGATTTGAGTGGTCAACTTGCAATAAAATTGATGCTAGTTGTAAATAAAATAAAGTTTAATGTCAAAACATTTTATTTACTCTAAATCGTTTGTTTACTTAAAAAGGAAAAGGAAGAATTTCTCACTCTTTGGCACCAATTGAACTATTTTTTAACTCTTTACACACTGCAATAGTGTTAATAATACGTGCTTCATTGGCTCAGTGTTACAGAACTAGTCCCTTAATCACCTGTTATTGAGATATCACTTAGAGTTTGTTTTTTTAACTCAAAATAAAGGATGAGAAAAGTGACATTTAAAACATTTTAAATTTTAGTTTTGTGATTAACTTGTGATTGAAAAAAATATCATTTAGCAATCAGTCCAATGGTTTTTCTCATAAAAGTCATAATTTTCAAGGATTAATGTAATTTTCAAGTTTGTTAGTATTAATATTATTATTATTAAATAATTAAAGCAGAAGAGTCAAAAGTCATTACATATTTTCAATTTTTGCGAAATGGTAATCCACGGAAACCACAAAAAATTAAGTTTTGATTTCTAAATATTTATGATAACATTAATTTTTAAGTTATTTTTTTTTTTTTTTTTTTTTAACTTTTTCATTATGTTATCTAGGCTGGAGATGCTGGTCAAACTGAGGAAGTTGCTGAAGAAAATAAATCTTTGATTTGGACTCTAGTCAAACAGGTTTGTTTTTTTGTTTAAGTAGTTTACTTTATTTTAAATTGTGATCATATCAAAATATATCATATCTAGCTTAGTGTAAAGTTAAGATATATCATATTTCCAGGTTTAATTTTAAGTAATGTATAATTTAGTGTTGCCGATTGCAATTTTTCATCAGCTGCACATTCATCTTGTCTTAGAATACATTTTCTAGTTTTTATTTCATTAGATTGAGAGTACTATTGTATCAATTTCACTTATTACACTTAAGAAGGACATGTTCCTTTTTAGATTTTAAATCATGAGTTTTGCCTAAAGAAAATTTATTTGTGATTAATTTCTATGTGATATGTTTATTTTTGTTAATGTAGAAAACCTAAAGACTTAAATATTTTCTCAATGAGCAAACCTATTTTATTCCTGGAAAGTGTGTAGGAAAAAATAAAGAATTTGCAATGGAGCAAAGAGTTTACCCACAGTTTTTTTTATTTATTTCTTATTTAGTTTTGTTTTATGTAGCACTGTTTTACTTCTGATTAAAATAAGTAGTGTTTTATATTTTCTTGATAAGCTTTTTAGAAAAATTTATTTTCTTCTCCATTTGAAGTTTTTAACATCAGTGTTCAAAGGAGCATCAATGTTTAAGGAATCTCTGTTTCCCGTTATATTATGATATGAAATTTTTATACTTTTCTTAACAATTTATTTTATTCCTCAATTCTCAATTTTATAACTTTTTTAGCTTGGTTTATAAAGTAGTTTTAATTAATTTTTCTTTCTGGCTAATACTTATCTAGTCAGTTTCTACAGTACAGAACCCGTTATCCGGAAATCAGAAAACCTGAAAACCAAAAAACCAGAACAAAATTCGATCAATTTTCCCGCCATTTAAAAAAAAGCAAATTTTTTTTTCCTCGTAAGATTTTCGGATTTTTCTTTCTTTTTTGAAAGATGTTTACCCTACCATCATTTTGGAAATAATCATTAGTGTATTACTTCATAGTTTTTTCATCTTTTTAAGATTATTTCCAAATATTTTTTTTTTTTTAGTTGGGTTTAACAATAAAAAAAAAAGCCTTTTTGTGGCGATTCAGAAAACCGGAAAAATCAGTTATCCGGAATAGCGATGGTCCCAATCGTTCCGGATAATCGGTTCCCTACTGTACCATTTTTTAATGTTTTTCTCTTATTGACTACAATGTTACGCTAAGGGTTTTGTTTTAATTTCAATTTTGTTTTCGTTTATAGTATACTGTTGCATGAAAGAAATGTTAAAAGAAATTTTCTCAATTTTTCTCAATGCATATTTGATATTTGATAGGTGTGAGGGTTGTAATATATTTTGTGGCCTAAACAAGTTGTAATTTTGCTTTCATTTATGGAATAATTCATATTCTAAGCATTAAAAATTATGCATGTTTTACATAAATGAGTGTCATTAGTTTTAAAAAGGTTTAGGTGAGATGTGTCTTTAAAATGTTAGAAAGTATTCTCTTAATATCAAATAAAGGTGCTGAGGTTTTCTTGTGGAAAATTCATAGTCTTGAGTCATCCATCATACAGTCCGACTTGATATAGTTCATTTAATAGAATGTGTTATAATTTCAAAGCTTTTAATGTCCATTTTTCTTCCTTTCATTGCTACAAGATGTAAGCATTGGATAAAATAGTTTGTCCAGACAGTTATTTTTTATACTATCTAATTTATTTATTCATTTCTTAGGTTAGACCCGGTATGGATCTGTCAAAAGTTGTTCTTCCAACTTTCATTTTAGAACCTCGTTCATTTTTAGATAAATTGTCTGATTACTACTATCATTCAGATATTATAGCTAAGTATGAATATTTTTTTTTTAAATTTTAAATTCTGAATTAGTGTCTGGTGTCTTTTAAATGTTTAACTTATGCCTTATTATTACAGAGCTGTACATGAAGACGATCCTTTTACTAGAATGAAACTGATTACAAAGTTTTACCTTTCGGGATTTTACAAGAAACCTAAAGGTTTAAAAAAGCCATACAATCCAATTCTAGGAGAAATGTTTAGATGCTTTTGGCAAAGTTCTGAAATAGATTCACGGACATTTTATATCGCAGAACAGGTGAGATTTTTCTATCTGTTTAATGTCTCACCAAGATTAAAAATTTAAAATATTTGCCATTTAGAGCTAATACTGTAAATCTCTTCTCATCGTATTTTACAAATATAAAGCTAATTCTTAGAATTATGTATCTTAGAATTTTCACTCAATTTTTTTTCTGTTTCTACAAATTGTTTTTCAAACTTACTTACTGCTGGAGAAAATCCTTATTTTTTTAATGCTGTACCTAAGTTGAGTTATTAGTTTTAGTATGACGATAATTTTTTAAACATATTTCCTTCTATAGGTATCTCATCATCCGCCTGTTTCAGCATTTTACGTTAGCAATCGCCATGATGGTTTCTGCATACATGGAAGTATATTAGCAAAATCTAGGTTTTACGGTAAGTTATTTTCAAGTAAAACTATTTTAAAAGTTTTTTAGTCATTGCCTTATACTTTGCATTACATTTGATAATTGTAATTTACATATCCTTTTTCTTAGTATGTCTTTGTTTTATGATGCTATTAACCAAAATTATGCACGCTGTTAGACCCCATGTATAAATAAAAACAGAGCTTCTCACAGATCAGGGAAAACCTGGAATTGTCAGGGAATTTTTTTTGTTTAACTTTAAAAAGTAGGGAATAGTCAGAGCAAGTCTAAATTTTTTGCAAAAAACCTGGAAAATTCCTTTATCATAACCTGGAAAATAACCAGTTTCAGATTTGTTGGTGACGGTAATCAGTTATATTGAGATTAAAGTTAAATAATTTTAATATCTCTTACAATTTTATAAAATTCCACTTTTTAGTGAAATTTTTCCATGTTTCCATTCTCATTCTGTTATGTTTTTGCTCACAAAATCTATTATTTGATGTAAAAGGAAAACCAAAGCTATTTAATGAAAAGTTGCATGGTATAGTTAAAATATGGTATGAATTTTCATTGAAATTTCCTGATATACCTGAAAAAGTCAGTGAATTATTTTTTCTGTAATTGAGTGAAATCCCTGAAAAAGTTTTATGTTTTTGAAATTTTTTAAAAGAAACAACAAAGCTACTAGAGATTCTATTTACGTCAATAATGTGGTGCATTCTCAGGACAAAAAAATCCTGTTCAAATATTTCCAGTGAAATTGTTTGACAATTTTTTATTTTCCCCCAAATATTTCTGTTAGAATAATCTGACAAATAATGTAAGATTTTTCAAATATTTCTGTTGAATTGGCCCAATATGCCACAGAAAGCATTGTTTTATGATTTTTAGTCTATAACATTGTCTCGTAACAAATTTTGAACTTAAATTCAATTGGAGCAATTTAACTGGTTACTAATGCAGAACGCGTCAAACTTTGCATTTCTATTTCTTTTCCACTTTAATTTATTTTCAAAATATTGGTCATTTTTGGACACCAACTGTATATTTTCAAATAATATTTTTTTAGTGATATAACAATCAAATTTGTTATTGTCTTCTAAAAACTTTTTGTTCTAAACTTGTGTCTAAAACAACTTTTATTCACAGGAAATTCTATATCTGCCATAATGGATGGTACTGCTCATTTAACACTTTTAACCAGAGGAGAAGATTATACTATCACAATGCCATATGCTCATTGTAAAGGCATTTTGATGGGCACTCTTACATTGGAACTTGGTGGAAAAGTAGATATATGTTGTGAAAAAACAGGTTATCATACGGAACTGGAGTTCAAATTAAAAGTAATGCTTTGTAGTAAAATTTTATTGTTCATTGTTAATCTCGAACAATTTATTATTTACTATGTTCTTTAAATGAATTAACTATGTTTATGATTAAAAGTTTGTTTACCATAATTTTAAAACTTGAAAGCATTATTATTTTTTTATCTATTTGCTATTTTAATTGGTGTTTTTTTTCTTTCTTTCTTATTTCTGTTTTTTTCTTTTTCTTTTCTGTATTTAATTTTATACGCTACTAAGACATGAATGGTCATAAGTTAGACATTCAAATCAAGTTCATAGGTATACAAGTCTTTTTTTAGTTCAAATTTATTTTGAAAGCAAAATGTTTTATATTAAAATCTTGTTTTCGATTACCCAACTTGCAAAAGCAAAAAGCATCTTTTGTTACATAGTTTTTTTTAAAATTTTATAAAATTTTTCCTCTTAACAATTAGATCTCAGAGTTTTAATGAGTAATTTTTTATGCATTACTGATTATGCATTTTGAGATTGAGAAAAACCTTTTTTCATATTTGATTCTAGATTGTGATATCAAAATATTTAATTACTGTTGGAAGTAGAACCATGTAAATGAACATGATATTATTAAAGTTTTGCAGTTTGTCATTGGTATGAATAATACATGAGGACGTGGGCAAGAAGTAACGATAGTCAGTTAAGAGGCTTTTGCTTTTTTTTTTATATTTTAAAATTGTGTTTTACATTTAATTGAAAATATTATTTCGTGATTTTTAAAAAATAAATAATATTTTTTGAAACAAGGATGAATAAGCACCTAATGAAAATACAATTTTTTAAGTAGCTATTAACTTAGCTTTAATTTCCATTTAACATAACATTTATAACCATAAAAGCATTTTCTATTTGAGCAATAGAATTATGTTTCTATGATCAAGTGAAGTTTCACTTATTGTTATAGATAATTATTACTTTTATGTAGTTATTACATTCATATATTCTTATTGCAGTTTTTAAATAAATGTGCAAAAAAATGATTTTTATGAATCTTAATTCACCAATTCTCATGATTTACGTAGATTTAAACTATATATAGTTTTACCGGAGTGGAATATCTGATTTATTTAAAAAAATACTCTACATGATTGACTTAAAATGAGAACAATCTATTAAGAGTCACTTATTAAATTCAATGTTACTTTTTTAAAAGGCACTCAAATTAAATTATTTATTCAGTTAGTAGTGTTAATTTAATGTTTCTGAAATTGTTTACCTGAAATTCTTTTGTAGACTAATCAAATTTAAAATGCTGTTTAATATTATCATGTTTGCAACTTCATTTAACTGAATTTGTATTTTCATTACTTATAAACATTTTTATAAGTAATGGAATATATATGTAAATATAAATATCATATTTTTATTTGAGAAATAATTATGCAAAGTATGCTCCATAATCTCTTTATTATAAAGATTTAGAATTTTGACAAAAATCTAGTATTAAAAAAAAAACATGCAAAAAAAATTATATTTGAAAATAATTATAAACAAGTATGAGAAGAAAAAAAAATACAGAAATCTAATAAATCATTGTGATAAACAGAACTCCAATTTGAATCCCTCGTTCAAATACTAAATTTTTTTTTCTTTTTTGAGAAGGATTCTGAACTTATTAAATAAGATGAGAAGAGTGATTATGGGACTTTCTGTATTGTGCATGCATATTTTCCTGAAAGTGACTTAATTGCTACAATGTTTTCTTCTAAATGCTTAACTACATTTGTATGTTTATTTAAACAGCCTTTCCTTGGAGGATCTGAATATTCTAATCTAGTCACAGGAAAAATTAAACTTGGTAAAGAAACATTATCTAGTATTGAAGGTCACTGGGATGGTGAAATTTTCATCAAGGATAAAAGATCTGGGGTGAGTCAATAATTTCTAGCATAAATTTATTGAGGACTTTTCCAAATTTTCTTTCAAAGAATGCAATATACAAAAAGTTTAATACAAAACATTTTTTTTCATGGTCCTATCATTACTTTGAGGTTATTTGTACTGTGTAACAAAGTAACTGTAATACTGTGTAAAGCTGTTACCTATTTTTAAAACCATTGCCTATACATTCTAAATTGTGGCCCCTGAAGGTTTTTAAATTAATTTTAATAACTTTAAGCATTAAAATATGTACAAAAATGTTTCAATGTTGATAAAGTTTGTAAAAATAAAAATTTGAAGTTTCAGGCTAAGGAATACATGAATAAGTACCTACGTTTACTATAAAATAAATTAATTTAATACCAACACATGCTTAAAAAGTTACTTTATCTTAAATACATCATTATTATCAGATAAATCAAAGGTTTCGGAATGAAAAGTGAAAGGCGGAGAAAGGATGAAATAGCAAGGGTCTGTCTAGGTTTTTCTGAGAGGTACCTCTTTTGAGAAAATTTAGACATAATTTGTGAAAATTTAAAATTATATTAAAAAATTAGCTCAAAATATGGATTTATCATTTCTTTCGGGATACAAAAATAAAATTTCAAGAAGAAGTATTTTGTGAAACTACCGCTTTTCCTAAAGTTGAATTTGCAAAGGTACCGCTAAATGATAGTAAATTTGTCCTGGACAGACCCCTGAATAGTAAATCAAAACAGGGGTGCAACATTAGACAAGAAATTTGAATAAAGAGCAGGTATGGGAATAATATAAAAAAGAATACAGACTGAACAACCAAACTAAAAAATAAATAATTATGCTTTTCCAACCCTCTAGGAAAATTGAGAATATAGTTTAGTCCTAATTAAAAATAATCTTATTATAAAAAAGTAAGTATCAGTAGATTATTCCTACCAAAGTGTGTGTCTTATATAATTTAGTTATGACATATTTAAAAACATGTGGTGTATGACTAGGATTCCTGCAAAGTCAGTTGGTTTGATTTGGTTTAAAAAAAGAATAGCTAGCTAATATGGTAAGCTAAAATCCTGGAAAATAACCAATCTTTAAATTTACAGTAACTTTTATGTAGCCAGCTTAATTTAGACTAAATAAATCTATCTTACATTAAAGCTATTTTTTATATATAAAAAAAATATATACTGCAGCAATTTCTTAAACATTTTTTTAAAAAATTCTTTACTATAAAATCCATAGTAGCAGTTCATCAATCATCTTCAACAGGCAGGAGTAGCAATTTATTTTAAAAATCAAAATTTCTCCTTAAACTAATTTTGGTTCTTTATCACAAATAAGATATATAATGGCTATTTTGAGCTTTTAAAATTTTTCCAATTCTTGTGCAAATAATTGCTTTTTATTTTTGTATTTATAATTATGTATTTGTTTCTTACTTTTTATTTATTTATAATTTATGTTAGGGATGTAATGAATACTGGGCCACTATTTGGTATTCGGCTCGTTTGCCAAATATTTACCCAAATATTCAGCTGAATGTTCAGCAAAGTATTTTTTAAGTTTTTTTTTTTAAAATTTTAATTGATTAAATTAAGGATATTCTAAAATAGTATTTTTTGCTATACATTTTCAGAAATAGTTTTTACGTATTATTTGTTAAGTTCTAAAATTCATGCGCTTGCAATGGAAATGGGAGATATAGAGAAGTGAAAGTAGACTTATAATTTATACTGAACAACATGTTTTATACTGCTGATTTTCTATTATTTATATTCAGGCAAGTCAATTCAGTTGTGTTTTCAACACTCTTTGTTTTAAGAATTTTTACTATTTTTATTATAGAGCTGCATTTTAACCAAGTGTATCTGATAAGACTATTCTTTTATTGTCACTTGTTCTGTGCATGGTAAGACATGTAACCGGAAGAAAAGAAGCTGTGATTTTCTACATTTAAGTTACATTTTAAGAAATAAGAAATTTTTTTCTTCATTCTCTCTTTTTTTTAGCTTTTCCTTTTATCAGCATTTTAATTATTCAAATAAACGTTATTCTTTTATCGTAACTTTTTTCTGAAAATACTGAAATGTAAAAAAGTTAAATTAAGATTTTTAGCTTTAAATTTTTCGTTTTAAAATTAAAAACTATTTTTGTTTCGGTTTCTATCTAGTCTTTTTTCTTTTAAAAAATTTTTTTGTTTTTATCTACATTTTTATTAACATGTAGCAATTAAAAGAATTTTTATTTCTTCTCTTTTGGGTATTTTTTTTATTTATTCTGTAAGGAGATTCCATTTCTCCAATTTACTCTTTTTTTTCTTCACCTTTTTCTTGAAAATACAGTAATTGGAAAATTGAGATGTTCATCTTTAAAATTTTCTTTCGAGAACAAAGGTCGATTTTACTTTTGATGTTTTACTTCTTGTTATAATCTTTTGTTTTTATGTGGATTTTCATGATAATGCGGCATTTTTTAAAAAGTTGTTATACAGTACAACCTCCAACTACCTCTTCCATTTACAACCACATTTGGAAGGCACTGGATTTTTCCATTGACTTTGTGTTGTAGAAAACCTTTTGGAGAGACTATCAAAACCTCTTCCATCGACTGGAAAATCTCCACACTAAATTCAGAAAAGGTCAAATAAGGAAACACGAAGAATATCAAAAACGAAAAATATCAATAAAGTAGTATAACATAGTTAATTAAAATGTATTCAAAATATTTGTGTGAGGTTCTTATTTAGAGAGCTCTTTTTGAGTCAATCTCTTTATCTCTCTTTTTTTTTATTTTTTGGTGCTTCTTGCTTTGACTATATTAATGCAATATTTGAATGACCTATTTTTGTGGGTATATAACTGTGAGCTTATGATGAGATCTTTGTTGGTAATTTTTCTGATTAATTTTTTAAATTTTTTTTTTATTTAAATTTTTATTATTATTATTTTTTATATAATAAATCTTTAGATTCTTAAATTTTACTGTTATTCTTAGTCAGTTCCATTGATTGTATTTTACCTCCAATTTATTCTAGGAAGAACATCTGTTTTGGAATCCTGATTCTGATGTCAGAGCGAATCGTTTAAAAAGATTTACAGTTCCAGTGGAATATCAAGATGAATATGAATCTGAAAGGTTATTAATCAAATATATTTTTAGAAATATTTTATTGTTTGGCTGTTATTGGCCATTGTTTGTGATTTTATTTTCATACCAGCAGTATATAAAATACATTCTCAATTTCCTGATAAAGTTTTTAACATTTAATTTCATTTGCATTCCACCTATAAATATGTTTGAAATAGAGGAATTGTTAGAAATATGAAGTTAATACTTTACGGAAAAGCTTTTAACACATTCTCTGTTAATTTTATACCGGCATGATAGGCTTCTTTAGTGACTAATGCAATTTGGTACAAGATCTGTGAATTTTTTAAGTAAGGCTAAGTTGTAGTTTGATTTAGGATTGATCATTTTAAAATTCTTCCTCGTATGACATTTTGACTTAATTTATTACACTATTTTATATTATATTAGTTTAATTATATTATATATGTGTTAGTTTATTTTACCAATATTCTGCAATTTGAACTAGTTATAAATTTTTGGTTCAGAATAATTTAGCAATATCGCAGGAATATATCTATAATTGTAAGCATATGAGAAAAGTTTCATATCCTTGATTAAATTTAAAATGCTCAGCTTCCTTATATGTGTCAGTTTCTGTCTGATTAATTTTTTTTGTAAGATCTAGTGATGTGGTTAATTTTAAAATATTTTTTTAATTTGTCTAAAGTAAGAACTCCCCTAGCCATTTATCTGGACTCGTGGCAGTGACTATGGTAATGAGGTATTGCTGTTTTAAGTAGGGAAGTGAAGAGAAGCTACCCTTTCTGAAATGCGCTATTCTTGTTTCCATAGCTGCAGATAGCCTCAGACTATGTGGTGGGAGAATTTTTTACATAGACAAACTGTACTCCCACATTTATAACTGGCATGTCAGGTCTACTGCTGCAAACTAGATTGATGATACTGTCGGGCCAGTTTTTGACCACAGGCTGTACTTTAGACTTTTGATTTAAGTGAGCAAAAAAAGTTTTAGGGGACACTGACATTTATGTCTTTTTTTTTTACATAATAGTATATTTAAAATTGCTTTTCGTTTATGTGAATTATAATTTATTTATTACTATACAGGCTGTGGCAGCATGTTTCTTATGCTATTTTAAAAGGGGATCAGATTGCGGCGACTGAGGAAAAGACTCTTCTTGAAGAGGCACAGCGAAAATCTGCTAAAGAGAGACAAGTTAAATTGGAGAAATGGTCCCCTAAACATTTTGTACAAGATATCGTTACTGGAGAATGGGTATATAAATATGCTGAGTAAGTATTTACCTGCACTTAGATAAATCAAAATATTAATATTTTAGAATGTAGTTTCTCTTAATGTTATCTGAAGAAATTTTTTTATCTATTTATCTTCATTTAAGATAGTGATTGATGATAAGGTCATAAAAATGCAAGGTAGAAAAATAAGAGCAAAATAAATGTTCTTCTATATTTACAAAAATTTGATTTGCTTGATCGGCACACTGTGTTTAACTTCCATCCATCTTTCGAAGGATTGTTTTCTCATGTGGATGGACGGGTCAGTGCTGGATTACCCATTAGGCCATGGCCTGGGGCCCCCAATGATTAGGGGCCCCCTTAAAATGGATTTTTTGAAAATAAATTTTAAAAAATTGAAAAGAAACAATGATTAAAAAAAAATCAATTTCAAATATTTATATTAATTAAATACGATAATTTTTTACGTAATGTTAATTATATTTATTTATTTATTACTATTATATTTGAATAAATAAGAAAAAAACTTAAAATTAATTAAATAAATGAAGAAAAAAACTTAATCTAAGGACCCCAAAAATTTGAATGGCCTAGGGCCCCGCGTACGCTCAATCCGGCCCTGGGACGGGTGAGGCACATTGGTTGGGAAGAGAGAAAGAGAAAAAATATTTACATGCCATTCTTATTGATGAACTCATCTGTGTCATGTGATAGGAATAGAGTCATTGATGAAGTCAAGCTTCTGCCTACCTCCATTCAACTGTAGCCAGTTGGCAGTTTCAATCTTTTTACTCCATGACGTTAGTACTTTTGAAGTTGCATGTGGGATTTTGAGCTTGCGTGTTTTACGTTTGAAAGAGTTTGAATTCGTTTGCGACACACTACTGCCAAAATTATTATTAAAAAAATTTTTTTTTTGCTTAAAATGTCTTATTTATTTCTCTAATAGCGATTACAAATTATCATGATTGAAATTGGAAGTGTGGCGTGTATGGCGGGGAGCCTATGCAATGATAACCGGAAACTTTAGAAATGCTTTTTGTGTGTGCTGTCCTTCTACCAGAAATTACTGAGCCTTTTATTGAAAAACACCATTTAAACTCTTTTTATTATTTTGATAACTTAAGAAATCCTTATTTTACCAATAATTTAAGCAGTGGAATACACAAAAAAACCCTTTTGATTTGTATAAATGAAAATTATTAATATTGCCTTAAGAGTTGCTATTTTCTCACAAGAAAAATATTTTTTTCTTTAAAATTAGCTTATTTAAATCTAATTTAGTCTTTATTTGATTTCTTTTCAAAATTAGACCTTTTAACATCTTTAACTTTTTCATTTATATGACTAAGTTCTGAAAATTTATATTGAGTATTGAAAATTCGTAAGTAAATCAATATGCTCTTTTTGTTGTTACTTCTCTTATTTCAATAAAAGTAACTTTGGGCCAAAGTAATACTTTAATAATGTGCTGGTATTATTTACTGTGTAAGAATAGACACTTTTTTAATAATTATTAATTGGTCTTTTAAACTATTAAAATTGAATAAGTTAGTAAAAAGAAATGGTTAACTTAATTTTACTTTTTTCCAATTTCAGCTCTAGGCCATGGGATCCTAGAACTGATGTCCTTCAGTATGAATACGACTTTAAGATACAAACTTTAACAAAGCATAAGCCTCCCACTATTCGTACTGGTAGTATCATCAGTGTAGAGGACACCCCTAAAGTAGAACTCATCCGTCACTTGTCAGTCGATCGTGTCCTTCCAAGGCCAGCCGTCTGCATTATTCCTAAGTCACGGCACAGAAAAAGCATTACAACATCTCATGGTAGTGAAAGTTCCTCTATGAATGGTGAGGCTTTCCATGGCAGTGACTCAACTGAAAGTGATGGTAATGAATCCCATATTTTTCTTGATTGTTTATTAAAGGAATTTTTTAAAAATCTCTATAAAATGTTAAGCAAGGTTATTTGTCACAACTCCTCTCTGTTTTAAGTCTTTGATGGTGTTACTAATGGTCAACGCTATTTTCTCAATACATATATACAGCATCGTTAGAGAATGTAATAAGCTATAGTTTTTAGAATACAGGCAGCCTCATTATTTAAATATTATATGTCAAATATGTGGAATCAAAGTATAGTCAATACAAGCATTTGAATGTAATTCAAGTGGCCACCCACCTGAAAAGCCTGGGATTATCAGGAAATTTTTTTTAAACTAGAAAAATCAGGGAATTTGAAAGAAAAGCTAGAATTTTTTTTCAATTTTACTGATTTAAATTATTTTAGCATCTGTTATATACCCACTTTTTTAGGTGGAAATTTATTGCTATACAGTTGAAATATCATCAACTTAGCATCAGTCTTGCTTTTTAATGTCAAGATAAATTTATCATTTAAGAGATTACCAAATTACTAGTGTTAATTTTAATCATTTAAGAAAAATAATAAAATTCCTTAACGATAACCTTGACACTACTTTGCTAGCACACTACTTAACCAACTATTTATGCATCTGATAGTTCACTTAGCCATTAGAGTAATTGCATTTGCTGTTAAATGAACCTTCTTTACTTTTTAAAAACAACATTCTTTGATTTCTAACTTGATTCACCATAAGGAAAAACTACTGTTTGACGCAAAAGATTGTAGGAATTCAGATAATTTGTTCCCACCTGCCAATATTTTACTTAAAAAACTTTTTTTTTAAATAATAGTAAGAGAAACAATATAGTGTACTATTTCTTAATTCATTATTGCTGCAATGAGGATTTGACCTTATTTAAAGTAGCACTTTAATTTGGAAGATAAATTTATTTATACCACCTTCATGACAATATAGCAAAAATAATTCTATTATTTTGTTAAAAGTATCTAATGAGGAATGAAAATAAGCACATAAAAATTTTTATTTAAGTAAAATTTACTTATTCAATTTTATATGGTAACAATACGACCTCCATATCTCCTTTTCCTATGCTCCTGCATAAATTAGAAATAATTTTCACATGTTCTTTAAAATAAGTTTTTATTTTCATGTGGTTTCTGTTTTATAAAAATTGCTGACATTGTGTTCTGATCGATAAGTTTACAGGGTGATCAAAATCAGAATAACTTTTAAGGGCAATAATTTCATTTAAATCAGGAATTTTTTACTATATAATTCTGTCTCTTTGGTTTCGTTTTATCAGTAACACCACATGTATATATTTCACTGTATAATTAATTAAAGGTACTTAAATTCTGCAAAAAAAATTGATATAATAAGAATATTCGTAATTTAATATTGAAACAACAGAAATGGCAATTGTGATACAAGTGAGTACAAAACTTTCAGGAGGATTATCATCACTAGTTTTTGTTAGAAAGCAGTTGAGTAGGTGCAACGCATAGGAATTAAATTTCAAAGACTAGAAATTAAGGATAAGAGCTGCAATCATTATTAAGTGACTTCATTGAAAGAAATTTCTTAAAACTACATCAAATGACATTTCAAAAGTGGCAAAATATTTAATTGCAATTGTTTATATATATTTCTATGAGTTATACATTTACTGATGCTGTACTGTTTCTTCTATAAATATAGCATATCTTTTTATGCAATTTTTACGGTATCAAGTTGCATGGTTATTTCTTATTCAATTGTATTCCTTAGTAAATGCCGCAATTAAACTTTTATATTTGACAATTATGAAACAATAGAGAAAAACATATCCGACAATTAAGTAAATAATACCGAAAAGCTGAAGTGGTAAAATATTACTTGATTAAAACGCTATTTCTTCCACTCCAATCACATTAGCCCATTTCGATGATCTTTATGGAATCTTATTTTATTCATATGAATGCTAATTCCCTTATTAACACGTTGAAAGACTCTCTAATTTTACATGGCTTTCCCGTCTGGCCAAAATGATTTTCTCAGTATGTATTGCATTGATTTCTTCAAATCATTTTAGTAAGGATAATAATATAAAAAAATTAAAAGCATTAAAAATTTACTTGCATTATGTGCTTCTAATAATCTTGGCTTTGTTGGTCACCGGTGACCCCCTCGTGGCGCTACGTACAAACTCAGTGCCGGTGACCCCCATGGCATTCAACATGTTAAGGACATTAGTTCCACACCACCTCTCCATAGCATGTGGGAATGCATTTTACCCTGATTTACCCCTTTTGGTCTCTGTGATTTTTCTTGTTCTATTTTCCCTCTCTGTGGTTATGGTTTTTCTTGTTTTGTTTTTCACTTTTATTTTTCCATTCCTCTTTTACATTTTGTTTCAAGTCACTTTTATTTCTTCTCATTCATGCCTGTCAAGTCTTGAAAATGGGTGCCTGTTTTTGAGCGCTTGGAACAGGCCAACTATTATTTTTAATTTATATATTTTTCAATCAAATGAAGTTTTTATCAAGTAATATCTGACAATTATTGCATGACAAAGAGAGTATTTTTTTATTATCATTTCTATTGTTTATGTAATTATTTAAGAAATTTTACTTTTAAATTCTGATACAAACTTCAATCAATAAGTAATTTATGAAACATTTATTTCTTGGTAATTTTAGGACCACGTAAAAATTTCCATTCTAAAAGCAATTCAGCTCTATCCACCCTTCAACAATCTCTACAAACCCTGCAGCAGCTTCAACAAGATAGTAATCAAACTTTGCGTTCTGTGCAGCTTCACATGGAAACAATCATGAACCAACAAAGAAAACTTCAAATGCAATTATCTCAGCGATGGGACTATAGCCTTGTTGCAATACTTGTACTGGTACAAATTCTACTCCATTGGTTTCTATGACCATATCCCATTCTGCCACTGGTTCATACTAATAGTTAAGAGTGCCTATTCTTATTCTTTATTCTAAATTTTAAAATAAAAATAGTTGCAGTCTTTTTGTGAAATATTTAGATCATTTCATTGGTACTAATTTAGCAAATTCGCTTCATATGCAAGTATTTCATTTAGATACTATATATTTTAAAAACTTGAAAATATTTCTGCTTGCATTTTTAATGCTATTTTAAAGAATAACTTTTATTCATAGTTTTTAATTAGATTATGAAAGGTCAGTCAAATTCTAGTTAGAGAAGCAGTTAAATACATAAGTCATTTTAGTAACATTAAATCTTAATAAAGTAGAGTTAATCATTATGAGTTACAGTAGAGTCTCAATAATCTGAGTTAATTGGGAATTTATAAAAATATTTCATTAAAATAAATTCTGTTCCTTAGTTCCTAAATGGAGACAGTAAAAAATTTCAATAAAACGTAGTTTGGAATATTTGATCACTTGTTTTTAAACATAATTTCTTCATTAGTTTAAATCATTTTGGATGTAAGTTAAATCTATAGGAAGGTAAGAAATTTTCTGTTTCCTCGTCCAAATTTTATCTATTTAAAAGAACTCGGATTATGAGAACTCTACTGTATTGTCAAATCCGCATATATATTTCTGTCATGATTATTTAAAAACCTTAAAGATTAAAACAAAAATTAAAATTTTACATTAAATCCAAATGTTATTTTCAGTGTATATATTATTTTAATTTAACGACTTCATTTCTTTTTAATTAAATTTTTGGAGACAGTGACTTACAATTAATAATAAAACTTATATTCATGTACATGCATCATAATAAAACAGGCATATGCATATATACATATTTAATACAATAAATGAATGTATGCTATGCATTAAAATTGTGACATGTTATTTCTTAACTTCTAACACATATGTTATTTAAAAATGTTTTTCTTAACTTTGCTGTATATGAATAGGATTAATGTATAAGGGTTTTTTTCAACATTGGAAAATAATTTGTTTCACAAAAAAATTGAATCAATATTGATTTTTTTTGTCATCTCAATTATTTAAATTTACATATATTTATTCATGCACATCTTAATTAATTCTAATGTATTATAAAATATTCATCTAAAAAAAAGTCACCTTTTAAAAGTTAATTTGATCCTATAGTTTTCCCTCATCAAAATGCTAGTTTTAAAAATTCTTTGCATTTAAAATATTTTGAAATGATTTGTCTCGTTTCTGCAAACTAAGAAGCCATCTTACTGCACTGACAAATCGAATCATAGGGCGAGGTCTGTGACACAGAGCATGTGGAGCACACTCTGAATTGCTTTGACTTTTAAAATGTTAAAAACCATTTGACTACCCACTTTTCAAACAATCCAGTTTGTAGCTTCCATTTCACATCATACTTCTTTATTTATAAAGAATTATTTTATCAATATTTCAAGTAATTCTGTGAATTATAACTGAACAAATTAAAACTGTAATCAACGATAATTGATTTATTAGTCATTTTCAGAAATTTAGGGTATATTCTTTTTCCAGTACATATAAAAATTTGTTGAAACATTTTATTTGGAGACTAAATCATATGTTTAAATGAATCAAGAGAAGGTAGAAACATCTCCACTTTAAACTGATTGATCTTTTTTTAAAATCTTGAGTGAGTGTAGCAATAATTTTATTTGTTTTAATGATTCAGATTGTGCTCTACTGGCTGGCCCATTTATGAAGTTTTAGTTTTTCACAGGTAGATTGTATACAACTAAGCAAGAAATATATATATATATACATGTATATGTGCATAGATTATGCCTGGTGATTTTTTCACCATTAACATTTGTGCTGTTGAATATTAAATTTTATGTTATTTCCAGTTTATGTACAGATGTTTCCTACCTAGTGTTTTATATAAATTTATTATATAGCTTACAAATTGTTAGTCAGCTTTTGCTGAAAATGCCAAAGGAAGCTTTTTCCATGGTAGTGTAATGAGCTGTTGGATCGTCGTATACATGTCTTGTAGAGTGGTGCATATTGTAAATAGAATGTGTCTGAACAAAACCTCTTATGTTTAGTGTGAGTGGTTTTGATCAAAGCTTATCAGGTTGTTCATTTCCATGATTTTTACCGAATGTTTATTGAAATTTATGAACAAAACTACACTTATCAGGTATATAAAATGCACTGCCCTGCTGTGCAGCTCACAGTTTAGAACTAATTGTTGAATACTAACATTTTTTAAAGGTATGTTATATGCATAGCTAGGATTTTAATGACCTAAAAATAAAAATCGCTACTGTTTAAACTTTTTGATCGTTTTTTTCTTCTATTACATTTAGTTATATAAAAATGTGTTAAGAGTTTTAGAGTGCAATATGCTTTTCTTGAAGTTACAAATTAAATTTAAGTGTTAAAATAGAAATAGGAAAAAAAAGGGAAAGCATATTTGTATCTTTTGCATTAATATTTTGTTATATATACAATTCTTAATTTATATATTTAGAATTCTTATAAGAAAACAAAATATATATATATATATATTGGGAGGAGAAAGTTAATATTTAGGCTAGGAAAGAAAAAAAATACTACCAAATTAAAAAAAAAAAAAAAAAAACATTTAATTAAGGTGATACAATGTATATAAATTCAAAGCTTTCTTGGTATGAAACTTAAAAGGTCTTTCAAACAATAGTCTTTTAAAGCCTGTTTGTTTCTTTTTCCACAATCAAACTGGTTTAAGTATTTCTTACACCTGTTTTTCTCAACCACAATTTGTCAGATTTCAAGAGTGTTTTTCTTTCATTGCTGAAATTTTAATTTGAGACCAAAGTATGTTTTTTTTTTCATAAGGTTTCAAAAGACACACATTAAGGGTAGTTTTTAAAGAATACCCTATATACATAGATTTCAAGAAATTAATAATGATCAGTATTGTATTTAATTTTATGTATTGTCAAATAAGGAAAAATGTCTTTTTTTCTATAAGCTGTGTGCAAAAGCCCCTTTAAACATTCCACGCCTACAGATGGACAATTATTAGATAAATTCTACATTTTGTATAACAAATAAAAAATTCACATAATAAAAAAAAACTCACTTCATAAAGCTCCTAAAAATAAAAGTATTTAAAAATTTAAATGTCATCAAAATCTTGGTTTAAGTTAATTGTAACTTTTGAATGTGGGGTTGAAAGGCTTTCAACCGGTGTTTCTTCAGTGAATCCAATTTCAGTCTTATAGATTGTTGTACGGACTTGACAAATATGAATTGATGTTAGCAAAATTGTCAGCACTGTGATATGATCAATAACATAACATCAACATGATGTTTGCTCTTATTTAAAGCTCTTAGCACTTTTTCCAAATTTTTATCTATTTCATTGTGTGTGTGGTAATAATTAACATTTGAAGCGAAAAACTTTGTTTTTTAATTATTTTTAAAATGGAATGATCCCATAAAAGTTTTTTTGGATCAAGAGTACAAAATTGTAATGTTTGCATTTTTACACTGGTAAAAATATTCTTTCAAAAAACTTTTTTTTTATTATTTTTCTTTTATGTCAATAAATAGTTAATTTTTATAAAACAGTGCCATAACTTTTTGTCCAAATTATGTTAATTTTACTAAAATTAAATACTGAGTTTTTGATTAATTTCTCTAAAAAAATAACCACGGGGTGTCTAATAAATTGTAAGTTTAAAGCACTTCATCCAGTTTAAAACCAAAGTACTTTATCTAAATGTTTTATATCCATTTTTTTGTTAAACAATCAACAATATAAAAAATTAAATAATTGCATCTAAAAATTATTATCGTGTTAGCTGATATAAAACTTCTCCATTATTACAATGATACTTAAAATTATTTTTACTTTGATTTTTGTAAGTGTTAATAAATTGCATTCTTTTTAATTTAAAACAAGAATAATCTATCTTTAAACTTGTCTTTAGCAGGTATAAATAATAATTTTTAAGAAGGTGCTTTGAAAAAGCTTGCATTAAAAATAGCTCTTATTACTTACTACGCATATTTCTTAGCCATAAAAATATGAATTTATTCAAAAATTTTATCTGCTAAAGAAAAAAATATTTTTGTTGATCGAGTGAATGGTATAAATTTTATCTTTTTATAAACAAATAACAATAATATGTATTTTTATTTCCAACATATAACAGTGAAAGGTTGAAACAGTTTAAACACTACTGTTTTTTCTTGTTAAAAAAATATTTAAACAAAGAAATGTTTTAAATTGTGTGATAATTGAAAATTATATCACTAAGCATAAAAGCTTGCTTTTTCTTCTCATTACTTAATATTTATTTATCTATAAATTAATTCAAGATAAACTACGTAAATTTCATATCAATGCAATCTCTTCAATGATAATTTTTTGTATAAATGGCAGTTATTTTTTAATTTTCTTATAACAAAAACTAGTAAACAAAAAAAATCTATAATTTTATTGAACATTCCAGTTACGAAATTAAAATAAGACTGTACTCATTTTATTATTTTTAATTACTTTGTGTTAATATTATATTCAATGATTTGATTTTTCTAATAATTGCAATAATATTCAAAAATGAAAAAAAAAAAAATATTTTTCTTGTTGTGTTTGGCATTTAGCTAAAGTTGCTTACTATGCTATAGGATATACTTTCTTAGTTATTTTACATTCTGGCAATATTTTGAAGTACAACATGAAGTAGAACCTTGATTATCTGAATTATTTTAATCTGAATTCTTCTTTTAATTCTGTTTATTTCAAGTTTCCTTTTCATCACTATAATTTTGTTTTTTATAGTGGTTGCAATATTATTTTAAACTGAAAATTTATATTTTTTGTTACTGTTGTGTTTGTTATTCAGATATCTTTACGTGAAGTTGATAATAATTGTGAGGATACTTTGATAATTATTTCACATTCTGGAAATATTTTGAAGTACAATAAGTAGTCTAACCTTGTATTGATTAATTGAACTTGAATTCTTCTGTTAATTAAGTCAAATTTAAGATATTTTCTTTTTTTTATAAGATTTTTTTCATCTTCAGAAGAACTTCAAGAACACGAGACTGAAAAAAAAAATCCCTTATAACTTTAGCTAGAATTAATGAATTACTGTGACTAACACAAAAACATAAAGTAATTCCGATTAATTATTCTGATTATAAAATCTATAAGATAAATTTTTTTTCTCTTTAAATTTTATGTTACTTTCTTGCATAAAAATGTATTTATCTTCTATACTAAAAAAAAAAAAATTAAAGAAAACTACACATTGAGAAAAAAAATTTCAGATAATTTCTTCCAACAGTCACACGTCTGATTTCCCCCCGACTGTTGTCTAAAGAGAATTTCATTACCACCTTTTACTGATGTCTGGCCAAAGACATGATGAGTAATTCCACAACAAATTAAATTTGAATACCACACAATACTTATGTGGCGAAATTAAATCTCTACAGGGTGACTAAATTTAACAAATGGTGGTAAAATATGGTCAGCCAGTTGCATTTTTTCCCCGCACTAATTTCCTCAATGTGCATTTTAATATTTTTTTATTAATAAATATGGAATTCTGAATATTTTGAAGATTGCTTTTTTTCAAGCTTGTTTCTTAAAATTTTTCTTCATTTCAGAAACTAACCTTATAGTGTTTACCATATATTGTTAAATGCCTTACATTATTAATATTAACAGTTCTTTTAATCCATTAAAATTTTTTTTTAAACATTGCCACGTTTTGCAAAGTGATTATTGTTAAAAATACTTCAAGCCACTGACAAAATCTCTCAATTTCCTTACGTAACACTATTGTTTAAAAAAGGAAAACTTTTATTTTCAGAATTTATTGATAAAAAATGTTATTCCCTTTATAATCCAAATATTGTGCAAAATATATCTGGTTCTAATCACTTCGGATAATTGAGGTACTACTGTACTATCAACTTTCTAGTCTCTTTGAAATTATTTTTTTCCCTTATTAAATTTAATGATCAGATTATTTCAGGGTAAAAAATTGTTGTACTAATGCATTTAAATATTTTCTAATAAAAATCTTCGGATGTCTTAACCTATATTTTTTAATTTCTTTTATTGTTCATTTTTTTTAATGTTGCATTAGTAAATTTGTATACAATTTATATAAAACATTACCATGAATCTGTTCAATTTTTTATTATTTTTTTAAACTGTATTTATTTATTCTTATAAATATTATGTGCCTATTTATTGATATTATTTATCTGTTTTGCATGCTCTGAAGCCATGCTGTAATATATAGTTCTGTGTTTCTATATTTTAGTTTTTGTGATTTGTAATTCTTATAGCAGAAAAGGACAAAAAAAATGTTAATATAGGTGCTTCAGGAAGTTTGTATCATGGTTTAGTATGTGTTCCAGTTTTTCAAGTAAATTAAATTGATATTTTTCAGATGAAGCTGTAATAGTTTTAGTAGTATAAGAATTTTGTTTTGATTTTCAAGAAAAACTCAAATGTTTAAGAAAGTTTTATTTTTAAAAATAACTATATTTATTTTCCAAATTACTAAAAGTAAAAGTTAGGTAAGATTTATAAATGAAAGATTAGACATTTTTTTCTTTAAGTTATTTGACTGAATTTTAAAACTTACTATTTTCAGAACTATTACACATTACTGATATATGAAATATAAAGGAGAAAAGAAAGTTAAATGTTTTCTTTTTAAGTTGAGGTGTCCAAAAAGCAGAGTGTATCTGTAACTCTGTTAAATCTAATGACCAGTTTTTGCAATTGTTGTGTCTAAGCAAGTAATTAAGAATGATTTTGCTTACAAATGTGCCTGGTGTATAACAATTGTCACAGGTGTTAAAGATTCTCAAAAAAATTAACTTGCACTATTATATCTTCAGTGCAATTAAGTCATATTTGTTTTTTAAAAATATTTGAATTTTTTAATTGAATCCTATTTTACACATAGTTATGTGAGATATGTCCTCTCATTTTTTTATAAACATTTTTATTTAATAGAGTATTTAAATTTCTGTGAAATTAGCATATTTAAACTATGGATTTTTAAGTGAGGATGCAATATATTTTCATATATCATTGTTTAGATTATGTGTAATAATTTTGAAAGAATGAAATTTTAAAGCACTGCAACTTATTTATGTTAATCCAGTAATAAATTAAGTGGTTGATTTCCATGTTTAAACTTTTATATTAGTTGTTTCACAAATGTTAAGCAATATTTTTCTATGAAATTTCTTGAGTTATTATATTTTATCGTTTCAATTTACCTACATATTTTAGTGCGCAAAATGAATTATGGGTATGAAAATTTAAAAATCTTCAAAAAATAAGTTTTACACAATTTTGTTGACCATTCCTGTTTGCTTAGATGTTTTATTTGAAGCAAGCCATTGTTACTTTTTGTTTACAGCTTGACTTATGTCATTTTTATTATTGTTTTGTACATAATAAATGTTTCTCACAATTTGTACCTCCTAGTGCTTTATTGAATTCCTTTTATTTATAAGACAAGTATACAGTTATAGATTCTTTTATAATTTTTTTAAATAGACCACTAAGCAAAATACTGATAACTTTAATATATTAAAACTTATTACAGTCCTTTTTGAAGATTTAATAAACTGCTGTATATGTAATTTTTAAATAATTTGATTCAGGATATCAATAGTAAAAAAAAATTACCTTTACTATTTTACTTTTAACATTTTCGCCCCAACATTGATTTTACATTTCAGATACTTGAATGTTAACACATGCTACATTTAAGTAGATTAAATACAAAACTATGACCATCAACCGAATTAACACTGTCAATTATCTGAAAAAATGTTTAGGCAACAAAGAACAGTTATCCCATAAGTTTTCTTTAACTAATCAGGGCTGCTAGTTGTAATATTAACAAGATTGAGACAGAAGTATTTCTATTTAATGTTTTTTATTAGAGGGAGTGATAATTCATTTACAAAGTGACAGTTTGGCTAGTAGTTAGAGTACTTTAGCAAATTTGATCTCTGAACCCACAGTAATAACCAGTGAGTTATTCTTATTATTTCTACTTGTATTATGTATATCAGCTGTTGAAGGGTAATTTTACCCTTTGAGCCATAGAAAAATTAGGGTTACTTAGCTTACTCCTTACTAAGTGTCACTAGTGCAATCTAATAACAAATTGGTTCACCTGTTCAACAGATTATGGTTGAAATTTTATTGTAATAAAAATTATTTTCTGAAAAATGATTTCAAGTGAAAAATTATGCTAAAGAAGTAGGGACATATTCACAAGATACTCACACTATCTAAAAAATATACAATTGAAGTAACATTGCTTGATTAGACTAGCACATAATGTGCAATTAGTCAATATATTTTTAATTACATATAGTTATCCACTTTCTCTAAAATGATATTTAATTCCTTTTATATTCACAACTTAAACTTTCCTATCTTGAATTTATAAAATAAATACTAATTTATGACAATATAATCCTTTCCATAAATATATTAGGTTAAAAACATAAAATTTTGCGAATCTGACTTCATATTCGTAATCAGAGACCATCCAAACTTAAGAAAATTGTGTAATATATGCGGTTTATTGTAACTACTTTTGGAATGTTTTTTTTTTTTTTTCAATTTAGAGCACTGTGCAACATTTGGTATTTGGCTGAATATTCGAGAAAATAACAAATATTCAGTAGCTGAAGAGCAAAATTTTTTTAAAATCATTAATAAATATTTTTTATTAGTTTAGATAAGTTTAGTCATTATTGAAAAATAATCATAACTCAGCTGTGTTATTGGTATGGGTTAAAAGAAAAAATACTTTTAAAAAATATTTAAGATATTAGATATTAAAGCAAAATAAAAAAAAATGTCTTAAAAAAATTACAATTGTAAACTTGAAAAAAAAGAGAATTAGATAAAAATATATATCCTCTCTCTTAATTCTTAAAACAAAACTTTAATGTTAAAAATATTTCCCAGAAAAAAATTATCCATAAAACGTTATAACTATGAGAAATGCAACACACTATCGCAAAAACTCCTGATGCAAAAAAAAAAAAAACTATATATATTTTCAAAAGCAAAAAAATAAAAACCGGTCTAAATTTTTCCAAGAAAATTTTAAAGCTTAACATCTCAGTTTTCCAATTACTGTATTTTCAAAATATAATAGAAACTTCTTATTTATGCCATAAAAACAAGGTTTTATTGAAAAAGCTAGATAGAAACCAAAACAAAAATTGTTCTTAATTTTTAAATGGAAGATTTAATGTAAAAATCTCCAGTTAACTTTTTCACATTGCTGTATTTTTAAAAAAACAAAATGCGACCATAAAAGAATAATGTTCATTAGACATGCTCTTTAAAAAAAGATGCCCTAATAAAAATGCAGTTAAAAAGGTAAGTTAGTAAAAAGGCTGAAGAGAAACAGAAAGAAAAAAAAAATGGTTCTTAGGAATGAAAAGTAGCTTTAATGTTGAGAATCACAAGTTTCGATGTTATCGTTTATCTGACTTGCCATAAAAAAAAAAGTTAATTGACTTGCATGAATATTAATAAAAAAAAAATCAGTATTACAAAAATCGTGATTATTATAATGATTGTTATTATTATAGAAACAGATGTTATCGGTTATCTGCCTTACCGTACAAAAGAAAAGTGACAAAAAATCTTCCTTTTGGAAGTAAAAAATTTTGGTTTTTCTTTCTTTTCTGCAGAAATTTTCAAAATTTCTTTTTTCTTAAAATTTATATTTAAAAGATGCCTTTTTCGCACATCAGAGGAGAGAGAAATGCTCGTAAATTTTCTATTCTTATTTGGGAATAACGAAAAATGAATATATTTCGATTTTCTTTTCAACTGAAATTTTCAAAAGATTTTTTTCCCAATATTTTTATAACAATGCAAATTATATAACAAAACTTTGACTTCATTTTTCAAAAGATTCCTCTCATGTGCATAGGAGGGAAAAGAAATGCTCGGGATTTTCCATTTCTTACTTAAGCATTAAAAAAATTCGATGATTGTTTTCAGCTAGAAAATATAAGGAGAAAAAAAAATAATAAAACGAAATCGCGAATGATAGTACCGTTCTAGAAATCCAGTTCTTTTATTTACATACTTTTTTTATTTTCACTGTGAATGAAGATTGACTGTGAATGAAGATTTTTTTACAAATTCAGATTTGTAGCAAAATGAAAATGATGGATCAAAAATAAAAAACCAAATTATATTGTACGTTTCCGACTGCCTGTTTTCGCTAGACAAAATACCTTCAAAAATTATAAAAGGTAGAATTATTGATTTCGATTATGCTACATGTTTAGCCACTCTATAGAGAACTTCTTCCAGTTTCTATATTTTAATTAAGGTGGCAACACCTTGAACTGTCCTCTCACTTTAATGTTGTTTTCATAGCATCAAAAAATTACTTATGATTTCTAATGATTTGCCGGGAGTAAACAAACCAAATGAGATCCGAGAATAAAATAAGATGTAGCTAACGCTCTAATAAACTGCTTATCTTGTTAAGTGATTAACAACTTTTGTGGAAGTCCTTCAAACAAAATTTATGAGGTAAAATATCCAAAGTTGTACCAGGGATATTTTTGATAAATCATTAAAATTGAATTTTTTCATTATTTTTAATGCTCAAAAAAAATAAATTTGTTTTCTTTTTCATATTAATTGTAACTCTAGTGGGGATTTATAAATTTGTTTTATTGCTAGATGGGTTTAGTTTCAATGTTATTATAAACAACTTCAAGTCGTAAATTTTTGAGTGCTGTAAAAAATTTTATTGCTAAGTAGTAATTAATTAAAAAATTGTTTTATTCTTTTCTTACCGTCATGAAGAATTCATTTTATTTATGTATATATGTACATCTATCCATAATTACATGAAACATTAAATGTAAAATTGAATTTGATTACTAAACTACATTTAATATACTTTAATTTTTTCTTCATGTTTCAATCATATGACAATATAAATTTCCTAACACAACTGTGTTTGAACCAATAAATTTACCTATCAAAATAACAAACTTACAAATAAAGCATATTGTAGTGAACTTGCATTACTTTATGCTTAAGTAATGCTCATATGAACTTAACATCATTGTAAAATATTAACTTCAAAAATTGCAGAAAAGTTTTATTCTGTTTAATTTTGATTTAGACAAGATATTTTTTTTGTTATTTTGAAACGGGACATTCCTATCCTTAGAAATAACCACAAAATTAAATTTTATTAGAATTTTTTTACTGTTAAATTTTAAAAGTTCGAATTACTTTTATTGTTTTAATCATATTGGCAAAATAAAACTCTTTACATTGGATGATGTTTACAACAAACTAAATTTACGAAACAATTACTATACAAAGTATATTGTATATTTTTTATTCATATTTTAGACATTTGGCATATTGTGCATCAAATATGTCCAAAGTTTTATACAGGATGCAAATAAAAAAAGTTATAACCTCTCCTGTAGGACATGTATTTTTCCAGAAACGGAAAAAGAAATGGGACCAATGCCATTGCTTTGTTTTGATTTGAGTAAAACTTACCTTGTTTTGTTTTTCACTTCTGTATTAACAGCAGAAAGATAAAATTATGTGAGTAATAAATTGCATCATTGCCTTTCCTTGATGCAGGTGTGTTTGATTAACTGTTTGTAATTTAAGGCCTTGTTTCTTCAACTATAATTATTTTCTTGTTTTGTTTTTCAATTAATGAAATCATATACAGCCGAGCTTGCTTATGAGTATGAAGGGAGTATTATATTTGCTTGTTTCAATACAACTGAGTGATTGGAAAACACTGAGTTGAGAAAAAAAATCATATAAGTTCATACATAAATTATAAATTTTTTTTATTTATTTCTGTACAGCACCGTAGAAGTTAGTTTATTTTCTTTGAACAAAATTCGTAGCATAAAAAGCATTTGCCCTGCTGCTTTCTAAAAAAATTCAATGTGGTTTTATAGATTTATGATTCATCATATGTTTTAAGTTTTCTTCTGAATATTATAAGAGTTTTTCCAAAAACAGATTAGATAAGCAGAAGAGGGGGAAGTATGTAGAAATTTTGTGAGTAAAAAAAATATTGTTCCCTAAACCCAGGATTTACTCATTAAAAGTGAGGTGTCCCCAATAGACTTAACATTGTACTAAACAAGTATTTCTTATTTCCTTGTTAAATCCTAGATCTCATTAAACCAGTGCTTGTTATAAGAGAGTTTGATTGCACATTATTCTATTACATATGTATATTCTAATTATGTTCATGGTCCTCTAATATCGAGATTCATATTTACGCACTTTTAATATCTAAAATTTATTTTCATATTTACCTAATTTAAAAGTTATCTATTGTGAATCGTATTCATGTGATTTAAAAATCATACATCGAGATGCATATTTAAGCGAGTTTAAATTCCGATGTCGCTATACCTATTCACTGGATCTAAAAATTCATTTGTATCGCGATTCGTATTTACACGATTCAAAAATGCAATTTGTATTTTCACGTTTCTTAAAATCCAATATCGTGATTACATATTCATGTGATTTTTAAATCCAATGTCGCGATTCTTGTAAGGACTAAGTTTTTCTTAAATTAGTTGCTATAAAAGTATGATATTCTATATTGATAAGTAATTTTATTATAAAAAAAATTATATTAACTATGATTAGTATATAAATTAATATCTTATCGAGTTTCTACACATAAAATTTTCAGAGTTTTTCAGTTTGTGTCACAATCACCCCTGAAAATTCTACAATGAAATTCAAAACAAAATGTCTCAACATCAGACTTTCAATCAAGTTCTGCATATTGTCATAATCTAAATATTCCCTACTCATCCTAGTCTAGATAGATAAAAAAGAAGGAGATAAGACAGAAATGGGACAATAGCCCTTAACTTAACATTAACGATATAAGTGCATAGAATTTTGAGCAATAGTGCTTAAATTTAAAGAAAAATCTGTGTAGGAAATACAGGGCAATGTTAATACCTTTGTTTCTCCTACCCCACCATAACCTGAACGACTCAGACGCAGATGTCAATTTACTTACTGGCCTCTATTATCTAATGTTAATGATGAAAAAAAAAGTCCCCAAAAGAGTATGGTTTCAGCTTACAGGTTGAGCAGTGTTTCTTAGCCTATATTTTTCCAAACCAATTTTATATTAACTACTAGTATAATTGTAGTTGTTTCAGATAAATTTATATATTTTTTTTAAAAAAAAAAAATTATCATTTCCTTCTAAAAATTGGTTAGATAAATTCTCTAATTAAAGAGAGAAGGACAAAAATGACGGATCATAAATACACTAATCTCCCAGCTTTCACATCTGTTTCTAAATTGATATTACAGATCTACAAACATTCTTTATGTTTCATTTTTAAGTTTTGGTCATATTCTTTATGTTCAAAAAATTAATTTATACTCAGATTTTAGAGGAAGATATTGATAAATGACTGGTCCTGAAGGAAATGGCTAATATAAAATATACACTTTACCTGTTGTGAAGCCGTAGGCAAACCTTTGTCTTGATGCCCCTCCATACAGTAACATATTTAACACAATCTCACTCTATAACATATATAAGTTTTCTCTATTAAAAGTTTTAAGCTCTTCTGAACAAAGAAAATGCTACGAATTATTTCATTTTTCTGTAAATTTAAATTTGTATGGCGATCAAGATACATATAAATCGTCATACACACACTGAAGTAAAGAAAGCATAAAAAACAAAAGTTACTTCAATTGAAAGATTTTGTTCACTTTTAATTTATAATTTGCAAAATGTTTTAAAGAAGAAGAATAAAGTGTTCATTTTCAAAATTAATGTTTTTATACAATCATATAAATTGAGCAAAATAAGGCACTAAGCAATTTCAAAACAAACGATTAATTAACAAAAACAATGCATGGGAATGAAAACAAGTTTACACATTTATTTTTTTTAATCAAAAAATTTCCTTTATGAATCAATTGAACAAAAATATTTTGGTTCTAAGACTATAATTTTAACATTCATTTTATTCTTCCTCTTTGCTTTGTCATAATTTATTCACTTTTAAGAAATGATAATTATTTTTCATAAGAGAATGTACCTAAAAGCAATGAAGAATTATAAAAAAAGTTTAAATTATAGCTACTATGTTTTGGCCGGAGGTCCTACATTTGTTTACTTAATTTCATTTCTAAGATCAAATTTCATATCTTTTTTCATTTTTTTCCCCATTATTATAAAGACTTAGCATGTAAATATTGTATTTTTGCATGGGATGAGATTAAAATCAGGGGTCTGTCCAGACATTTTGTGAAAGGTCCGTTTATCGTGAAATTGTAAAAAAATTTCTCACATTCTTTCAACCAGGGTCCGCTTTTATGAATTTGTGCAAATAGGGTCCATTATTACAAAAAAAACTTTTTCGAGGAGTTTTTAAATTGTAAGATATACAAGATTATGCTCAACACTGTAAAATTATAATTAAAATAATTAAATTTTAAAAAATAAACAACAATTGCTGCTTCTAAATTAGAGATGCAGCATACAAATATTTGGTATTTAGCCTATACTGCTGAACACAGAATATTAATTTCGGACGAATAATGGAAGAATCGTCTGCCGAAGACAAAACTTAATTCGTTTACATCCATCTTTCTTGTTTTCTGCCCTGGAAAGGGTTTATTCGATTAACAAAATAATAATGAAGATAAACAAATTTGTGAAGGGTCCGATTAAAAGAAAAATCATTTTGTGAAGGGTCCGTTTTTAAGTTAAAATATTTTGTGAAGGGTCCGTTTTTATGAAAAGATATTTTGTGAAGGGTCCGTCAACGGACCCAAATTTCTTCTAAACAGACCCCTGAAAATAAACAACAAAAATATATGAATGCGAGAACTTGTTATTCATTTATCTGATTTATTTCTTTTCTTTAAAGAAAAAGTATTTTTTCTAATAAGTTCGTCAGAAATGTGAGGCTCTGTAGTACCACAATCAACCTAAAACTGGCTCTAAATGTACAGAATATTTATTTTCATTCATTTTAGAAACATTTTCTTTAAAGAAATGTGTGTTTTAATTAATTTATTTGAGTATATTGTATGTGTGTATATATATAATTGCATTATAGTTACATTTTTTTGTTTAGGCCACAAAAGAAAATGAATTCCTATGTTAGATCGAAAGAGAAGTACTGCTTTGAAAAACAAAGGGCATAATTTTTATTCTTTTTCTTCACCTGGAAAGTTTATAACAGTTACAATGCCTGAAAAAGAAGAAACTTACATAACTGTCACTGATAATGTTGTCTGTGCATCAGATTATCAGAGTCTAGCTCTGAGGGAAAGTTTGCATGCTGAGTTGAAGAAAGGAATGCCTTTAACTAACCATATGGAAGAAAATTCTGTTCCTTCCTGTCATACTGCATTTCCTGTAGATTTGAAAGAAGTGTTTGAACTAACTAATCCCAATGCTGAAATTCATCAAGCTATTTTACGCCCTAATGATGAAATAAATCCAGTTGCTCTTCAATATACTCATTCTTCACAAATTTTACATTCACCAAAAGAAACACAAGACGATGATTCGGATAATCAAGTTGCATGGAGACATGTTCTGAGAGATCAAAATAGTCATTCCACAGATTTAAATAATCACTCACCTGAAGAGAATCAAAACTGGGAAGCAGTCATAGATGAACCCCAAAATCTCAGTGACAGCGTTAACACTGAGAATGATATTTTACATGGCACGAAGCCAACTCAGATCAGTGTTATTAATAACCAAGAATCGTGGACACATGTGATTAAACAAACTGGTGACGTTGGTAAACAACATATTCATCCTTCCAATAAAGATCAACCTCAGATGCTGTCATCAAATGACCATGGCTCTTGGAATCATGTTTTAGAGGAGATGCCCAATGCACAAGAGATGTCTCATGCTGCCCAAATTATTCACTCTCACCCAGAATCAGCTCAAATAATAAATGCACATAAGCAGTGGACTCATGTACTTAATAATCCAAACAATCATCAGGATGTTACCAATGTTCCACCAATTGATTTGTCTGGGGACTGTTCAAAATTAACTTCTCTGGAACCTGAAAGAAGAGATGTTTCTTGCCAAGTTGATGACATTTCCTGTCATGGATCACCTGATTCTCATTCTCTCTCTGATACTGATGCACAAAAAGTGAATTGCAATGAATCTTTGAATAAACATATTGCAGAGAGTCCTGATGAAATACCTCAGAGCATGATAAATTTATCCATTGCTACTGAAGTTCCTAGTTCTTCTTCTCAAGTAGTTGTGCATAATGGCATAAAACCTGAAATGTATACACAAGAAAGGCATCTTGTTGTGCAAGCTGGGACAAAGGCCCTTGTAACTACAAAAACTGCTAGCACTTATCCATGCAATCACTGTGGAAAAGTGTTTGGTGACAGCCGAAGTTTGCAAAGGCACATGTTAATACATATAGGTTTAAGACCTTATCGTTGCCCTGTTTGCGGGAAAGCTTTTATGTTGAATGGTGATCTCACTCGGCATATTAGAATACATAGTGGTGAGCGACCATACGCATGTGATGTTTGCGGACGTAGATTTACATTAAAAGGAAATTTAATGCAACACTTTCGCACGCACACACCTGAAAAACAATATGCTTGTACTATTTGTGAGAAAAACTATGCTCAGAAGGATAGCCTTCACCGTCACATTAGGGCTCATTTTGGTGAAAAGCCATTTGAATGTACTACATGTGGTAAAAGATTTACGTTAAAGGGAGATTTAAGTCGTCATATACTTATTCATTCAGGTGTTAAACCGCACTCGTGTAAATTTTGTGGGAGGCAGTTTGCTTTAAAAGGAAATTTAACTCAACATGTTAGGACTCACGTGAGGACACAAACTAAAAACAGTGAAACAGCTGGGACAACCTTTCCCAAAAACCAAGAGGAGCCTCAACTGATATGTGATTTAAGTTACTCACATGTCCAAAAGACTTTTACTTCTGTGCCAAACAGTGCCTCAAACATAAAATTACCTCATATAGTCACTTCGAATCAGAATTCTAATATTGTCAATGCTCATCCTTATGTTCAAACTTCATCACCATCTGAAAATAATCATCAGTCACCTTCTGTTGGTCTGTCATTTTGTTCTGAATGTTCTAAGACATTTCCATCTCCTGAAAGTCTTCATGAACATGTTCAGCTGATACATGAACAATCCACTCGCTTGGCATCTAACCGATATTTGTGCAATATATGTCAGAAGGTCTTCTGTCTGAAAGGTGACTTGACACGTCATTTGAACAGTCATAATGGCGTAAAACCATACGAGTGTGAACATTGCAATAAATCATTCACTTTAAAAAGTAATTTACGGCAACATTTAACTACGCATCAGGTAGACAAATCTTTTGCCTGCCCAATGTGTTCAAAATCTTTTGGCAATAGACGAAATTTAAATTTGCATCTCCGAAGGCACGAGCAGGCTCGTGCGAATTTTACTTGTACAAAATGTGGGCGTTCCTTTTTAGCTAAGTCTGATCACTTTTTTCATGATTGTGTAAAAAATGAAACTTCTTCTTCATCTCTTGAAAGTTCCCAAACTCCCTTATCAGCTAATGCTGTGATTAATAACAACACACCACCTGCATCTCCAGAAGAACCCGATTGTTCTACACCAGTGACTATTCAAAATAGTACAGAACATTCCAACCAATCTGTTCCACTTGCCGTGCTATCAGTGAAACGGGAAGCTTGCCAACTGCCGTGTGAGGACCGAGAACTAGATCAGTTGGAGTGCAGCTCTCCTGGTTTTACTGCTGTTAATGGTGCACAGTCATTTTTAGGACCATTTTATCGTCATTTGTATTTCTCTACCTCACATCAGACTATGATTCCAACGTTGAAAAATTTGCTGCATGCATCAACTGCTGATAATATGAATGATTTTAATAGGTCGGCTAAAAGTAGTTAGTAAATAATATTAGTAAAAAAGATATTGTTGGTATTGTCTTAATATGCAGTCTGCCTTACTTAACTGCATAGTTGTTTTACACAGTTGATAGGTTTGTGGATCAATAGGGGGCACCATTTGAATTCCAATCTATTTTTTCTGAACTAATTGTTTTTATATTGGTTTATTAATGTTATTAAAAGATACATAGATACATTGTCTTCAATTTATCAAAGACAACTTATTTTACTATTTAATTTTATACTTATTAATTATACTTGTTTGAATTTATTGTATGTTTGTTTATTGTATACTAACAATAAAGTTTATTGTGTGCTGACAATAAACTTATAAAATCATTATTTAGTTTTAAATATTATCATAATCAGAGTGCACCAATTGCTAAGTTATGTTGAGAGAGAAAAAACTATATTGTATCAATTGCTAGAAATAATTTTTATAAAAAGTTTAGTGGCCCCAAAAATCTATCCATAAAGTAACTATGCAGTTAAGCTTGGTAGATTGCATACTGGAATCTTACCATATTGTTTTTATGACTTATAGTTAGGGCAGGTAATCTAGCATTTTTTCTTTGAAAATAATAAAATTTATCATATTTATTTATTGTAGTTGAGAAACTGAATACCTGTACAATTGCAAAGTGAGTACTATAGAATTGTTTGTTATGTCATCTTCTAAATGTATAATGTGATACGATGTTACGATGCAATAATGTTTCCTGAATACCCCCTTTTCCAATCTTATGATAAAAGAATTTATTTTTCGATATAATAAACAACCTCAAACTAAATGCTAACAAATTTCAATCTAAAATATAACCTTTTTTTAATTGTGTTTTAAAATGGCTTTATAATTTGGAAGAGGTTTGGAGAGTTAGAAGCAAAAAAAAAAAAAAAAAATCTTGAAATTGGATTTTAGTAGTTCACATAATCTATACAAGTAATAATTTCAAAATAAAGTTAGGATCTTTTAAAAAATTTTATTTTTAAGTTTTGCTACAACTAAATCATTAATATCATCAATACATAACCTGATCTCAAGTTTCTATGTAATTTTTTCCATTAGGCACCTTTTTATGACTGAAAAATATAAAAAATTTGTTTTTATAAAACAAGCACAGTATCTAATTAATAGTTTTCAATCATGAATTTGATTAAAATAGTGGGTGTTTATAAATAACTTAGTTGACACATGACCTCTTACAGGAAAAATTGAAGAAATTTTTTTTGAAATGTATTATCTTGTTACTGCCGTAGGTCATTATGGCACTGGGTGTGTGATTGTTCTTGTTTTCCGAAGACGCCATCTACGACCAATAATTCGACTTTTGCCACACCCGTTTATAGGCCAGACCCATTCACACATCCGCAGATCGTAAGTTTGATCTGAACCAGAGAGCGATCAATCCAGTATGCTTCGGAAACATTGATGACTTTATGACCTTACAGATTTAACGTGCACCTGTCACCATTTACTACGTGGGGAGTTTTGGGCTGGCTAGATTTGAACTCCCGTTCTCAGGAACGTGAGTCCAGCACTCTTCCAACCAGGCTATCCCAGCGCTGTAAATGTTTTAAAAGACATGCATGTAAAATAGGATGATAAGCAATTATCTAGCTCTTACAACTCTTAACATTTTCAAAGGGCAGCATCTTCTTTTTCTTCTATCGAAACATGATCATCACAATAAAAAATTTAAATTGCAGTTAGAATAATATTTGCATAATGAATGGAGAAACTATGCAGAGATGAATAAAAGAGTATTTTACAGTTGAACTTGCTTATAACGAGCACAATGGACGAGTAATATCTGCTTGTGTTCATTTACAACCAAGTGCTCAATAAAAATGTGTTAGTGAAAAATTCTTAAAATTCATACAGTACAAATGAAGTTAATTTGCTTTGACGAATCTTGATTTCTCTTTGTTGTATTATTGTTTTTTGGATAACACTCGTGACCCGAAAACATCAAAAAGAAATTTTTCCAAGAAGATAGTAGCCGAGCTGAAATTTAGTATAAATTTTATGAATCGCAACATATTTCTAGCTAAAACCGGGGATTGCTCTTTAAAAGTTAGCTGTCCTCCAAAGACTTATCATTATAGCAACCAAATATTCCTGTAGTTTTCTTTAAATCAGGGCTCGTTATGCGCAAGTTTGGCTGTATTAAATCTTTGATCTACTCTACTGCGTGTGCTTTTATGGCAAAAATAAAAGAAGGAACTGTGATTTGAGTGGTACGTCTTGTTTTCTTGCATTTTTCTTTGTCTCTATCTAACTTGCCAGTATTGTATTTGGATTAATAATGTTCTAACTTGAGTTCAAGTTTTTAACAGTTAACACAATATTTCAATGAAAAAAATAGATATTGCCCTCACTAAAATTTCAGTCACTATAGCCATAATTGTAAAAGCTGGTAATCATTTTTAAGATTCCTTCTTCTCATATCTTATGCTACTTTCATACAAAGTTATATTTGTTTCTCTTCAAGGGTTATGCTCTCTAAAGGATCATATGTCATCAAGGTTATTTTATAATAACTTATTACATACTATGATTTTTTTTTCTTCAAATTCCAGTCACTAGTTTCTTTGCTTATTTGTTTATTTAACTCCCCCCCCCCATAAACACATTTTTTTATTTATTAAATATATATATATGATTATATGTATTATTAATTACATTTTATAAAAGGCAAAGTAGATAAGGCAAGTGTCATTTATCAATCAAGTTGACATTTTATGTACAAAATCAAATTTTTTTTCTAACTTTTACATCCTTAAGGATCATTAAAATAGTTTTCGAAATGCAAATTTTCTTAAGTACCTAAAGCCGTATGAAAATGCTTTTGATGACTTCAAATTTAACTAACACTTCTTAAAACTGAGACTTTGAAAAAGGTATGTTCATATTATATCTGATTCCATTGTGAATAATTTATAAACTAGTTATCATTTTCAAAAATGTGTTCTTAGTACCATCTTTCCATGACCAAATCTATTTATTTGAAGTAGGATTTTCTTTATTAAATTACAATTAAGAACACTTGTAAACATTTCTGTTAATTGTTTATTCTAAGATAAATGATGCTGATTTTTAGTAAGTTAACGATTATATGATTCTCTTGTTATGAAATAAGTCATTTACAAATTATTATTTATATTTTGTTGTATGTTGTTATTTTCAAATATATTTTGAATGTCTTCATTCATTAGTCGTTTCCATACTCTTAATTTATTAAATAATTGTTGGCTTGAACAATTTCAAAGCATGCCTAAAAGATTACTAAAAATTGATTACTAATTGTTTTCATGAGTTTGAACGCTTTTTATGCATGCATTTAAAGAAAAAAATTTGAACATAGTTATAAAATTCCGAATTTGATTTGATTTTTAAAATCAATTACTAAATCTTACTTTCAAATAAAGGGAAAAAACTGAAGATAAAAAAAAATTCATTAACTTAATGAATTACAAACTGTTATGTGTATTATAATAGGTGCTTCCTTATATTTTCAAACTGATTATATATATTCATTAGCTATTACTATTATCATTATTTACACTGGTGAAAACAATTGTAGGGACAAATGTTTTTTTTTTATGAAAAGAAATATAGCAATTAAAACCAAACCTGGCCAATAAATTATCCAATATAAGACTAATATATGGGAAAACAAAAATGGGCACAACTTGTACCCTAAATAAAGAAATCGGTCATTTTACATACAATAATGTTAATGATCACCTCTAATAACTCTCAACTCATCGTTTCATATTGTTTATCAGGGTCCTTATCAATACCTGTGTCAACCACACTCACTTTTGCACAGAGGAGGCACCCTTGAGTTCATCGTTGGTCATTGGAGTTAGTCTTTGAGTTGCAATTGAGCATATAAGTGCGTCCCATACGTGTTCGATGTTATTAATGTCAAAGCAAGTAGAAGGTTATACCGATTGTTGAATATCCTCCGATTGAAGGTATTCGTCTACCAACTGAGCTCTGTGTGGATCACCCATAAAGGAAAAGTTTAGTTCATATGCTTTGTGGTAAAGTCTCATCTAGGATGCAAGGGTTGATGTAACATTGATCTGATAGAGTACCTCTGTCGAGCCCGTGAAGGTCGTTATACTTGATACCTGAATAGACCCCTTCGACCATAATGGTCCTTTTTGATTATTTTATAGAGTTAATATCGATCCTCGGTTACTCTCCAGATAAGGAACACATCTTGAGCCACTGTCCACATTGAATCGCAATCATCCTCTGTCCAAGACAGGCACCCTGCTAGACTCTCTTTTAGCAGTTCACAAATAAAGCGATGCTACAGAGCGCTTGTCACATAGGCAACATATAATAAGTCTCTGGGCGACTGTTATCTGGGATATAGATGTTCCTGTTGCATTATACAGGTTGCGGAACAGTTGTGTCACGGTTATGGACCTATTCTTTTTTGGTTAGAAGTGTCTGAAATTACATAATTGAGCCAGCTTATGGACCACTGTTCCTGCTTCTGTGAACTGTTTCCACAGAATGGGCACCACAATTCTCAAAACCTGAAAGTCCCTTCAATAGCTGGCCGTGATTGGCCTGCCTCTAGTCTTCAACTGTCTGTCATCTTGTGATATTGTCTAGACAATGAGGACTGGTCATACTAACGATGGGTAAACGAAGAAATTTAAAAAAAAAAAAAGTATTGGGTTTTAAAAGGACCTTATGCTATATATATATATATATTTTTTTTAAATTTTATTTTCTTTTCGAAAAAAAAAAAAACCCTCCCTTCAATTGTTTTCATCAATGTATTACTAGAATTGAATATTAACTTTGAAAAGAAACTTCGAAGTTGTTTAAAGAATCATTAAAAATTAATTCATGGTTTTGATAAATTTATTTTAAAATAAATTAAGAGATTATTACAAAATTTCAAATTTTTTTTTTTAAAATTAAGCTTTACTGAAATGAAATAAAAATTAAAACATAAGTTGTTATTCTTTTAACTTAATTATTATATGTAGCTCAATTATCTATTTTATAATTTTAAGTTTTGGAATTAATGTTATATTTGCTAACTATTTTTGATCTTTTAGCTAATAGGGGCAAATATTTTATGTATTGACATTCATTTTACTTCTCCTGAGAATTTAATTCAAAATAACTTTTATTATATATGTTTGGATTGAGAATAAGTCTGTGTATATATATTTAGTTCATATAGCTTTAAAAAATTATAATAAATTATTCAGAAGATATTTATTTATTGTTAAATTTATATTTAAAATTGTTAGTAAAAATTTTTTGTTCTTTTTATAAAAAATTTTGTTGAAAAAAGAGTTGATTGTAAAATATTATTTTGATGTGTGTAAAATAAATCTAATTTTTTTTTAATTTTTTTTTTTTAATCTGGTGATTTTTGAGACATTGAAATGGATTTATTATTTATCTTTAAATTTAGTTTGAAGAAAAAAAATTACATATGTATTAGTTTGTTCAAAAAATTTATCTTTGAAATTATGATTGTTTTTTAATTTTTAACTTAATTCAGTTCTCTTAAATCTCAGTTTATTTATAATTGTACGCATTCTAGTCTTTAGTTTCATATTCCCGGCATTTTATTTCTCCTTGTATTTTAAAAAGTAAACTGCATACAAATAATAACAAAATCACAAACTTTTATGTTTGATGTACTTGCCATATGTTTAAATGGTTTTTAAACATTATATGCATTTCTCTTTACCATTTATTAATTAAAATTTAGTCACAAATTGAAAGGGAAAATTTTTATATTTGAGTTTGAAATATTATTTTATATGTGATAATATTGTCTTAAAAATCGTACTGTATATGTGGTATGTAGTGAAATAAATTGAATTTGGAATTTGTTCTTTATACTCGTTTTCATTGAGTGTAATTACACTGTACTATGTATCACACAAGCAATGAATCAATGGGGATTATATTTGAAGAAACTCAAATGCATATAATTAATTCGCAGAATTCTATGAATTAACCTTCTATCTTTGTGCTGACCTTACCTGAGACTGCATATATTTTTCTTTTCTAGTTTTCTTTGTCTCTTGAATAATTTTTGGGAAGGATGTTATAACAATGCACACACAAACATTTTTTAAAAAATACTGGAGCACATGGTTAACTTTTGATTTAATAATCGGAATTTATTTTATAACCGAAGTTAAGCAGACCTATTTATGAGTTTATGGCTATCAATGTTCAACGCCGTAACCTTGTAATTTCGAACCTAATACAGAAGACAAAACTCCAGGATGAAGTACTGGGAGAAATTTTGCCTTCGTGGAGAACTTTGGGATGGAATTAACCCTCATTTGCATTACATGGAGTGGAAAACCACGAAAACCTTTCACGGTTAGCCTGACAACAAGGGGACTCTAAGCCACGATCTTATTACAGATATTTACCATTGAAAATATCTTATGTCAGCACTAAGGTCGGTGAATGCCGGATGCAGAATTCGTATTGACTCCTGACTTTAGTCCGTGTGACTGATTTCTTAAGGGAAATCTTAAGAGAAAGTATATTTTAAGAATACCAAAATGGTTTCTGAGCTGCTGAAGCTATTCTAGATAAATCGGGGTCAACACTAGAGCCTGTAATGCGACATCATTTTGTTCTACACACGTGTCACGTCACTGTGGCGATCATATTAAAGTTGTGATTTCATAAATTTAGAATCTATGTTTCTTTTCTCAAATCGAAATAAACAAAAATATTTATTTTTATGGCACTTTTTTTACATTGAGGACGCTTACTTTTATTTTTAGGGAGCTTTTTTCTGGTCACCCTGTTATTAGTTTAAAATTTAACGATAGAAAAAGAAAAGGAAAAAAAAAAGAGATATACCTAGAGTAAATCATAAAGTTTCAATTTTTTTTTTAAAATCATGATATCTTTGCAAATGATTCCTTTTAAGAATATTCCTCTTTTACATAAACAATGCTGGATAAAGATGCTAAATTGATAAAATTAAAAAATGCAATCATAACAATTTCCCCAAAAATTAGTTGTTGACAGAATTTGAAAAAAAATTAGAAGATAGAAAATGTATATATTTTACTCAATATTTTTAAGACCCTAGTTTTTTAAGTTAAAGGAAATTTTTTTAAACAAAAGAATTTTTTTTTTTTTTTTTTTTTTTGAAAATTTAGGGGGCAAGGGCAGTTTAATTTTCCGAGCAAACTTTGTAGGATACGTCAAAATAAAATTCGGACAAATTTATTTAATTTTTATCCATAATTGTTTAAAATAGTTCGCATTTTAACATTTGAGTCTACGCTTAATTATAATGAAATTTTGAAACATTTATATCGCTCACAATTATTAAATCTGTAGTTTGAACACGGAACAATACACCGAAATTTTAAATTTTTTATTTTTATTTTGAACACGTGATGAAATGGACCATATTCCCTAAGGCAGTGTTCCTCAACCCGCGGACCGGTACTGGTCCGTGGATCAAATGATATCAGGCCGTCCATTTCATTGAAACTGAATTTAAATTCCTAGGTTTATACCCCTAATTAAAAATATCTGTGTTCCATTAAAATTTTATTTATTTAAAAGAAATGGTCCCCCGAAGGTAGTGACATAAATTTTTTAATGTTTGTAATGTAACATTGTCTCCGATTACCCCCAGATGGAACCGTCTCATTGCAAAGAAGCATGCTCAGGGTTCTCATAGTTTTAGCGTTCTAGTAAGTTAAAATGTTAAATCACTTTATATTTATTTTTTGGTGTAACTGTATTTTATTTTGAAGACATGTTTAAATACACTTAAATTTAAATTAATAAATTAAAATAACCTAAAATATAAACAATCAACGCCCCCCCCCCGGCGGTCCGTGAATAAAATTATCAAACGTTGACAGGTCCGCGTTGATAAAAAGGTTGGGGAACGCTGCCCTAAGGCTCCTATACTCTCATTCAGGGGCTCTAATATTGCCAATATTAGTTGATTGCTTGTCTTAAAGTTGTTACTCAAAACACTTAATTTCAACTGTGCAAAGCCCAATCAATTATAGCAATATAATTAATGTTTTCTCACTAGAACTTAGTTCTACCTTCATGTACATAGTAATCAATGGCATCTATCAAATTTTGTATGGTATATAAAAATTGACCAAAGTATTTGCGTAACTTTAATTTACCAACATTACCCAAGTAACATTAAATGACATCAAAATCTCAGAAAATCTTAATTTTTTTTTTTTTTTTTTTTTTTTTTTTTTTTTTTTTTTTTTGTATAACTTTTGGATAGAAATTGTAGTAGAAAACGTGTATTTCGAATTTTTATCAAAAACATATGAAAG